TGCACAACTGTTATTTGGGTTTTATGTTATCATAAAGCTCATAAAGCTGATATTCAAAGATCTACAACGCTGTGCGCGTTTCTTTTTTTTTGCTTTTGAAATCGGCTCCGGTGATCGTATGAAAAAAAGAAAGAAGAACGAAGGAAGTGAGTGAACAGTGCACAATTATAGTAATTACGTATATCGCAAACCTAATATCTATTGTTTTGAATTTAATGATTTACCTTCAAATTTTGGTGGCGATGACGGCGATGGTAGCGGAAATCAAGTAGAAAATTCAAACCTCAATGAAAGAGAAAATCAATATGAAGCGAGTCCACTCATCGATTCACCCAAAAATGATATATATGTTAGGACTATTGCATATGAGTTTACAGTAAGACATACGTCACAGGTAGGGGTATCACATACAATGATTTGAAGATTAGAATACGACAAGCTAAGTGTGTTAACTCTAAATTAATTGTAGTAAACGTTTAATACATAAAATCTTGACGAGTTTAAAAGAATCGGATTTTTTGAACATGATAACCTTACGTATCCCAAGCTTTCATGGTGCCTACAGTTAAATTTTCGAAGAGAGCAAACAAAAGGAAAATTCACTTAGTAGCATGCACATTGCAATATGAAATAATTTATGTCTACCATGTACGCGATAACTTTTTACAACACTGAAACCATGAGGTACTATATGCTTCTGTATATCTCATTTAACAAATTAGCCAATCAAATTTCTCATTCACAGGGATTATGAAACCGACCGGAATAAATAGGAATGGTGCTGGATATGCGAGATGTGATCCCTTTTACTTGTTTCTTTTTATTTTATTTGTTTGTGTATGACATGAAAAGAAAAGAAAAAAATTAAATTAAAATCGGTTTTACATGAATTAGCAAAGTTATCACGTGCAAAGAAGGAAAGGAAAATTCGCTAATTACCCGGAAACAGCATACACTGTTGATGGGCATCAGATTGCGAACGTGTCGCTAAATCAACACCAACGTGTTAAGGCACGTGGGAGACCTTAGAAATTCGATTCTCTATCAACGTTGTTTGTTAATTGTTTTGTTAGGTAAAGTTGGCAACGAGGGGAGAAATATTTCTAACGGTAGGTGTGTAGTCTGATAAGGAGAATAACAAGATTCAATGTTTACAAGGAGCAAGATTCAAGTATTTGCATAGACCCCCAATTCATAATTGGATATTTGATAGCGATATCAGCCTAATTCCATGTAATTAGGCCACATATCAACTTTACTAAAAATCAGACCCTTGAATTAAACTTGCATTTCTTAAGTGCAGATACAGTAAATAATAGTAATCTATTTTCATATGGTGATAATGGAACCTCAGTGCTCCACGGGAAGTGCTTTAATACAAAAAGTGAGAGTTGTTTTTGGATTGGCTGAATTGATTCTACTTAGCATCGGCAAGACGTGGGCTTACGACGGAAGTATGTTCAAGCATCGATTAATCAAAATAAGATATGATCTTTTTGCAATATACGAATCTATTGCATTCCCACCAGCGGTTGCGAATGCCAAGCACGCTCTATTAAGTTCCATCTACAAACTGAGCTGCAGTTTATTATCGAATAACATCTCAACATCATCTCCACTTTATGCGACTCAAACAAAGTTGAGAATAAGCTACTTGCTGAGCATGATAATTTTTCGCTTTTTTCTGAAGAAATTTGGTGGCTATATCACATAGTAGGATATCGACTTAAAGGAGATAGACAGTTTCGCATCGACTATGTACATCACGGTCCATTCCTGATTCATCTTAATATACCTGCCATTTTCCAATTTCATTTAAATGCATACAATAAGCGAATCATATTATTTGCAGAGTGTATATATATAGAATGCTAGTAAATTACTATTTCTATTAAATTATTTACTAGAATATAATAAATGATTCTAAATCAAAGAAAAAGTACTCGTAAGTCAAATGTGAGTTGAGTTGATCACAGCCGGAAGGTCGTTGATATATAATGCAAGCAAGACCGGTCCCAAAGGTGTGCTTTGAACGGCACCTGACTTGACTGCAACATCCACAGATTGAAAAGAATCAAAGAGCATTCCAAGGGTATCATGCCGCCATTAACAAAACTTTGCGGCAAATAAGTCTAAGTTATTTGTTAAGTCGAGTATGCCAAATCAAAACATTAAGGTTAGTTTTTTCCTTTGCCATTGCAAACCATTTTTTTACTCATTAACGCTTCCTGGTATTTATGGCAAATTGAAATTGCCATAAATCGCTGTAAGAACGTCAGACGAGGGACTTCAACTGCTTTTCGAATAAATGAAACATGTTTCATTTAGTTACCAAGATGCGAATGTCTCACCCACACGCACGCCTACGCATACCCTTTCTCAGCGATACCAAACTCGCACTCGTATACTACCCGTTTACATTATCCGTAATTATCCGTTACTCCACTATACTACACCTTACTTGCCTTTGTCCCCACCAACCAGCACTGATGTTCCTCGTCTAACTGGTGAAACACTCCACAGTTCGGACGAGATAGCAATGAAGGCCTGACGATGAAAATTCGTTGGATGTTTTCAGCACACAGGGCTTGCAACAAAGTCACTATATTCCCAAAGAGCTGCAAACAACGAATCGGTGTCCGGTAATAACGCATCATTGCTTTCATCCTCGAGGCCTCCTATTAATATCTCATACTTTATTATACCTCGATTTTCGGTCAACAAGTCGGTTATTATTTTTACGTCCTCAATGTATATCAAGGGTGTGGTATATAAATGTACAGAACGATGTATGCCGGCATAGTTGTAAAAATCAAAAGCATATGTTTGTACGATTGCCTTTATCACTAGGTTGTTGTACTAGTTCTCCCTGCGGCACTGTTGTAACTAATAAACGATTATCGCACATAATTGTGACACGATTTTCAGAACCAAATTTGATAAAGCTGGTGGCTTCCACTTCAAAGGGTAAATGGCCAATTTCATGGCGTATTATCTCCTTGCCGTTTAGCCACTAAAATTAAAGACGACAAAATTATTCTCGCAAAGTCCTTGTTTCCTTATTATTCATATTGTTTTTTAACTCACCACTATCGCCGAATAGTGCACACTTCCAAATCTAAGCCATACTCGTTTGTCCACAGTCCAATTTCGGCTAACAAAAAATTTACGCTCATACCACACAGTCCCTATATGATCTCGCATCGTTGTCTCAACAAAAAGATCATTATAACTGGCCGGTACAGGTACAGTCGTTGTAGCTATAATCTTCCAATTATTATAAAATCCATTAAAATTTAATGTAAACATGATTGTTTCACATGACCCTTACCTTATGTAACTCTTGCTTATACCATAGTTCTCTGAAT